AGAGAAAATCGCAAACATTGAGTGTACAACTTTTATCTCCTTTTGCTATGTAATTATATGTATAATTGTGTGAAGATTCGTCTCACTATCAGACAGTGAGTTAAGGCTAAAGTATGTTTTGTTCCTCAATTAGCTAACGCGGAAGTTGTAGGAAGGAGCGGAGGGGACAAGGAAGGTCTCTCCCTTGATCCCTAACACAGGCTCTTTATTGTACAAATTGTTCAGGCAGGACACTGGGAACATAAGGATCGTGGAGTACAGTAAAAAAATTCATTTCTAATTTCTTGTCCGTCACTCAAACGCCCCTTAAGGTTTCTGAGATTCTATTAGCAATATTGTTATCCTGCTCTCTTCAATATTGAAGACGACATTACTAGATTATTTTTATAGCGAGTATTGTAACCCAATTGGATTCCCATGTAAATATTCTATTACTAAAGACTGATAAACCAATTCAAAACAACAATGTCGTTTATGTGAGAGTTTCAGGTGCTCAGGCTGAACACTTGTGGATCATTCAGAACTTGCCATCGTACTTCTACCGCATTGTATTATTCTCTTGCGAACTTTGACCGAACAAGTGACTTGGCGCAAAGTTCTTCGCGACCTCTTCAGGCCCGTTCACACTTGCGATTTTTGAAGCGCGATTCTCGGTGCGCGATTCTCGGTGCGATGGTCGGGCCGACCATCGGCTGAGTTTCGAACATGCTTGAAAATTGGCTGCAACTTCGCGTCGATTTTCTATCGCCGCAACAATCGCAGGGCTGCTGTGTTTACAAGTGGCGATTATCGCGCGCTGCAAAAATCGCAAGTGTGTAAATGGGCCTTTAAATTTTTGTTCCTTGTGTAATTTTTTTTTGTGAGTTATAGTAAGCACCCCTTCTTCGAGGATCTACACCCCTCCCAGAAGAAAATGCTGGATCCGCCCCTATGTAACATAGGAACATATTTCCTGGCGCTGGTTAATTTAGTAATGAGTCAATCTGTTTCGAAATGCATGTTTATTAAGGATTTCATTAGTTATAGTTGAACTATGAACTAATCTCTCATCCAACTCATAATAGCTATAGGATCTTCCCATTTATATGATTTTGATAGTAAAAAGAGTTCCCTTACTTACTATATAGGCATCTAAATTCAGACTCGTACTTAGTCGTTACACTTGGCCTTTTTTCTGTGGTGCGCGCAAAGGATTAAGGGAAGTAGGAAGAAAAAGTTCTTCCTGGTAGTTCGGACTTCCCTTAATGCAACGCGAYCCGTAAAACGAGCAAGAGAAACGACTGGGTACGAGTCTGATCCAAACTARAGACTCATGTTAGCGAGCCTTAATGGACGGCACCGAACGCGGKGAGTGTCTGCCTACTAGAAGGTAGTATGTCTGTCATCTAAAGGATGTTTAGTGGTGATCTGCGTCTGTTTCTAAAGAATATCTACAACTAATRCAAATCGGTGTATGCTTCCTACGAGCGTCTGCTTAGGAGTGTCTTACTAGAATAAGTGCGTAGGGTTGTAATAATATGCCCCTGTAAATATACATCGGTGTTTGCATACTATAAAGCGTCTGCTTAAATGGGTCTGTCTAATTAATTTTGGTTATCTACTTGTATTGCTACAGAGTGCAGTTAGAACTTATGATACATGCGTGTCTGCTCACAGAGCGACAACTACAACTGGTGCCACTGAGGCAAYTGTGCATCACTAACCAATCATATTGCAGTATTCACATCAAGACTCACTTGCAAGTGGTGAGTGGTCCTTCAACGCAGCACGATCTATGAACGTCGAAGAGCGTAGCTCAATCGCACGAGTCAAAAAGCCATTGCAAACACTAAATATAGACTCCACTGAAAAAATAAAGGTTTTCACCATATAATGTTACCAATAATTCAGTCTAGCTACGCTATGCACAATATATTACATTGTAACCGGCGAATATAACCTATTTTGTACCTCACATTATATGCTGAGGCAATAATACTATGGTAACTATTAATAAATTCCCTTCCATCCCGACCCTCCCATCCCCAAACAAAATTCCCTCTTAATTTAAAAACAGTTTTGCTGCAAACTGAGAATACRGTGATTGCTAACTACATTATTATTGTACTGGCGTTATCTTGTTTTCAATGACTGACTTGATTTCAATACTAATTCAAAGTATTAACACTAAAAGTGTACAACACAAAT